GAGACGGTTGCAGGGCTGGAAAGGGAGCGAGGCTTGGGGAGGAGGACGAGGGGTGACGGGTGGCAGCGGTCTCCTGTCCCCAGGGGTCCCGTCTGGCTGCGGGAAGATGCTGGGGGCCAAACCCAACAGTAAAAAAGCTGGGGATGCAGGCGGTGTTGAAAAGTGGTGTTGTCAGGATGGGGGTCCCCCAGGATCCGTGCCCCGCTCCCTGGGGAGGGGTCCCGCAGCATCCCGGCAGGACGAGCACGTGGAGAGGGATGGAGCCAAAAGCATCTGAAGGGACTTGGAAGCACGAAGCTTCCCCAGAGCCGGGGAGGGATGACTCTCCCTACCTGGGGGAGAGATTTCGGGGCTGAGCGACGGGGCAGCCCCCCCTCTCCTCCCCAGACCCTGCCTCAGGACCTGCCCCCGGGTCTCGGCCCGTCCCCGAGCCTCTGCAGGGAAGCAAAACGGTTTGCGACAAGCAGGTGATGGAGCCCGAGTTTTGCATCCTCCTCGCAACGGGGCTTGAACAACCCACAAACCGCAGAGGATCAGCCCGAAAGCGCACAGCCACCCCAGCCGCTCCGTCTCCTCCGTGGACGGAGCAAGACGCCTCAAACCCCCGGCAAAAACTCACTCCGTCACACGCCGAGCAGGAGAGGCACCATCTCTCCCCCGCCCCCCGAACAGGGGGTTTTATCGGGGACAAACGTGGCAGAAAAGGTTGCAAGGCCTGAAAACGGCATCCCGCCGCTCAGCGGCAGCCCAGGGCTGGGGTTGCTTTGGGTGGGGGGGGTTTTTTTTTTTTTTTTTTTTTTTTCTTTTTTTTTTCTTTTTTTGTTACAAACGCACATTCTCATTTCTCAGGCAGGTATAAATATTGTCGTTTCTAGTAGAAAAAAAACACTTCCCTCTAAATAATATAAAGAAGACTCAAATGATTGCACTTAATACATATGAAAAAGGTAGAAAGGAGGATATCCTAGTGCACAAACATTTACTCCTGCTCTTCACAAAGCTTGCTTTTCCGAGTTACTCTTTGGCAGAGCTTGTAAGAAAGTCTGGTTTCTTGGCACAAGTGTCTGGGGTGGGGGGGGAAAAAAAACCCGAACCCGGTTGAAAGTCCTTCTCCTTTACTCCCTGTTTTCTCCCGTGCAGCCAGACATTGTTCTCCGGGAACGTGGCTTGGCTGTGCTTCCCTCCCAGCGCCAGCGCGGCTCTCCGGCGGGACGGCCACCGGAGCCACCACGGTTGCCGTTCGCTGGCGTGTTTTGCCGATCTCTCCTTTAAATTTTCTTTTTAATCAAGTATGCTTTTTTAAAATTCTTTTCCCCCCGATCTCTGCAAAGCGATGCCGATCCCCACGACCCAGGCGCTGCGATAAATACGGCGTTACCTTCTTGCCATCCTCTGCGAAAGAGCTCAGTGGGGATGCAGCCGGCGCCAGCCCCGTGGGCTGGAAGGACGACGACCCCTTCCCGATGTCCCGGGCTGCTGGTGGCACCGGGGAACGGGGACAGACCTGGCATAAAGGAAACCAAAGGGAGGACAGAGGCTGGCGAAAGGACCAGTGCTTTGGTTTCGTAAAATGAAGAAGCTG